ACCGAAATAGTCTCCATGATTCGTCGCATCTCACTCAGATGATCGGGCAGATTTCCCTTCGGCTCAAGTCGAAGACGACTCAACTTCACTTTCTCCTCAGCAAACTTCAAGTAGGTCTTCCCCATAAAGCGCCGTTTCAGGCGCTCCATCACTCGATACGGAGTCTGCTCATACTTCACTGTCTTCATTATCTGGTTCGTCATGGACTCGTACAGGATCTCCTTGGTTCGAGCCGTCTTGATCACCCAGTCGTTGTGCTCCGATTCCTTATTCTTCTCTGATGGTTCTTTGACATATTCGACGCAGTATTTCCAAAGTTGTTTGCGCATCAACTTCAGTTTGACTCGCTCTTGCCACATCTCAAAGTCGTTGCCGTCGAACAGCGGGATGGCCTTCGTCTCGTGCTTCGACTCCTTCACTTCTTTCTTTGCTTCAGCCATCGCTCCTTAGTTGTAGTGCTTCAACAGCGAGAGCGTTGGGCTCATAACCAGAAGAGCAATGGTTCTTCTCGACAAGAAGAAGAAGACGAAGAAGTCACTTGTTGGTCACTCGATGTATTTCAAGAATGAATTCTTTCTCCCTGTTTCTCTGTTGGTTTTGTCACACAGCTACTGTAAGTACCAACTGCCACATCATAATTAACGATCAGTACACAACCTCAACATTATGTGCTATGAAGTTGAATCGTATGGGCACAGCGGGGTGGGCATGAAAAAGATACACACATTTTCTCACCGCTGTGACAATAATCAACATCTAATTTAACAAACTAGGCATCCGTAACCTTGTGGTCTCATTTCGAAATTTATATTGAATGGAGTCGAGCGGGATACCTCCTCCGTAGTAGCCAATCACGTTGGCGATAGCTGCTGACTTCTGCTTGCCTGCGCCACTGAAGATTCCTTGCATGATAGCGTTGAGACCGCCTGCGATCTCAAGGGGCGGCCACATGACCATGATCTTCGAAGAGAGGTCGATACTCCTATCGTCATTAAGGAACAGGCGTGGGATGGCGTCACTAAGACTGAACAGCAGCACATCGAACAACACAGAAACCCCCCAAAGTGATTACGAGGAAGCCATCTTCGCATCTTCGCCTTCTTCGGTTGATCAGCACCCAGACAATTGCCCACACGAATACCAGCAGCGACTGCGATGCCGTAGAACGCAGTGTAAAGAATAATGTTAACGTTCATCAGCACAGCATGCGTTGACAGGGCGACGACGCTGTCGGGTAGGTTACCAGGATTTTCGAAGGCCCAAACTTCGACAGCCTCCATAACCATACCCGGACAACCGATTTGCACGAAGAGGTTCACATAGTTCATAGCGGCCTTGATATTCACCAGTCTCGAAGCTGGTGAGGCCGCCACATGAAGTACGGTACGAGCAGGAGCGTGAGTGTGATATTGCCGAGCGATCGAGCAACAGCAATGCCGGTGAATCCCATCGACGTGTGGTACGCAAGCCCATAACCAGCACCGAGGTTGCCGAGATTTCCGATGGCTGCGATGACGACTAGCGGTTTGACGACATTTTGACACTGCATCACCTTCCGCACGAGCTCGTAAAGGAACAGGAACGGGAGTCCAGGAAGCATCAGACGTGAAAAGTCGCGAGTCAAGTTGGTAACGTCCGTATGCTGACCAAGCAAATTGAGGATAGGTTCAGTGAACGAGTTAACCACGAGTATAGGAATGAGAGCGACAAAGAGAACTCCCCCCCCCCCCGTCTGGAAGTAGATTCCGATCTTGTCGATCCGTTTGGCGCCATAGGCTTGAGAGCAAAGCGTATCTAGTGTGAATGCAAGACCCAATCCAAATGATTGGGCGGTGACGTACATCACGGTCATTAATAAGCGCTTATTCATGCTTGCAAGGTTTGCGTACAATAACGGAGATCGTCGCGGCATTGACGTAGTGTTGCGCATTCGGTCCTCCCATGTTGCCAGCCAACAGAATAGATACAAAGCCGGGAAGGAATTCGAGTACTGTGGTCCCAGTCGGCGATTGCAACGAACGATATAGTTAGTTCGTAGTCCTAAAGCTCAGTCCTTTGCTTTGGACAGCTTACCACTGGCAAGATTAACTGGAGCAGCTCACGAACTTCTACCATCGGTTTTGGGTCTGGTTCACCTGCATCACTATGGAGTGTTTCAATGGCGACGACAGAGTTTCTGAGCGAATTAGACTCTGAAAGAGACTCATTGGGGCCACTTGCTTCCTTGGGAATCAGTTTCTCGTCCATCTTCGCCTGTTGAGTCCGGTATGTGAGGTGGTAAATTGAGTTGTGGCATCACGTGAAAGGTGAGAATTGCCCAGTCTAGACGTGATCGCTGCCGGCCGGATTCGTCGGCCTTTTCTCCGTACGGATCGTGGACAGCAACAACCCAAGCCACCAACACGACAAGCCGCGACAGGCGGACGTCAGTGCGCAACCAGAGAGCACTTCAGCGTGCATAATATCAACAGCTTCAAGGAGGAGTATTACATGAAGAAGGTGGCTAACCTAGAGCGAGGTCATAGATGAAACAGAAACAGCGAGGGCTTCAAAGCAAAACAGAAAAATTTAATCGTTACTCATTTTGCCCTCAAAAGCAAACACCAACGAAAACAACTACTTCTACTTCGACAACTCACCTCACTTTCCTACACCTCACAAGCAACACAGTCGACGACTTCAAAGTCGACAGCTTGAGCTATTTTATGGCTTTGAAACGCTGCTCTTACCTGACTGGTTTCACGGCATTTCTGTACAAAACAATAGCCTTTATTTGGGAATACAAATAGTAACGACAAGGCATTTTACGTTTGCTTGGTTTTGTAAGTAATTTCTTGGTGATTACTAAATTTTCGTATTGTTGGATTTTTGGTTTCACTGAAATTAGCAATGCTAACCACAACACCAAAGCTGGTTTAGTGCTTCACGAAGTTCCGCGATTCCCAAATATAGAATTGGCGTGGAACCACCAGTTAAAGTGATATTTTTTCCGAAGATAAGATAAATTTACCTTTGTTAAAAATGGATAAAGGATTTATTTTTATCTTAAAGATTTCGATCAAAGATAATACGTACCACCATATGTCAATTTTTGATTGTCGTGTAATTTGGTGATCCAGTGGTGTTCGTGCAGCCTTGTGAACCGCTGACGGCTGCAGCGTGTTCTCCATCTTGGAATAGACCAACCACTTCACTGCAGGGATCGTTCGCCGGACCGTATGTACCAAGCATGTAAGTGCGAGTTGGTCTATGATGTCGATAACGCAAGGACCTCTTAGCACCAATGCGGAAAAGCTTGGCAGCAGTGCGGAAATGCGGACGAAGGGTCTACTTTAATACCGCTTGTGGTCTTTCCAGTCTCTTCTGTCTTCGAGGTTTCTTCAAGCGCCGAAGCACACGCAATACGGCGTCTGGCGATCGACGTGCCATTTGACCATGGCATAAATTTTCCACCGCGAGCGGACTCCTAGAATCCTTCCCTTTCCTTGTCTGCGAGCTTAAAGTAATGAGCACAAGCCAACGCGGCGGAGTGTCGTTGGAGGAATCAGCGATAGCCAAGTATGGGTCTGTTCTAGTCTCTAACCAATCGATTATTACCCGACATTTAATACACAATTTTGGACGAGATGTAAGTCATTGGTTTTGCTTGTATATTTTCCACATAATATATCTGAAGCTCAGCTCTTAACTCACAATAGAAGCAAAGTCGCTATCGAATTCAAATAAAAATGCACGCATACTTTTGGCCGGGAGTGAAATATTGTTCAAAAAAGCACTCTAAAGAATGTGTCCCCGAAGGCTTTTTTTTTGAGCGAGCGCCTCCGTCTTGGATCCAGAATCTGTCCACTATCTTGCGTGTGCTTGCTGTGTCAAGGACACCGCTGTACAATCAGTTACTGAAGTCAATATAATGCTGTATTTATCTCCCCCAAAACAATCTCAGTATTGTATTTCAATATTTTAATTGCATTGCTATTATGTTAGAGAAACATTTTCTGTCCAGTACCTAAACGCATTTCCAATAAAGTACGATTTACTAGTATACTATTTTGACCAATACAAGATTGCAGTCCCGTTTGGCAACATAATTTCTAGAAAAAATGCTAACGGCTCCAAACCGTGATTATTCGTTAAAAAATCGCGATTTTAGCATGAATCCAAGCACCGCCTTAGAATACGGGTACGAAGAATTCAGGATATGCAGTAAAAGCTAGATTCAGTAATAATACTTTGTGAAAGAGGTGGGCTGGTCCTCTCATACACCGTGTTAGTTCCGTTCGACAGCTTTGGTAGGTCCTGTTAAAACAATGGGGCAGCATTGGACTTCCGATCAGAAATGCCTCACCTTTCTGTTCGTTACGTATGCCGTCATCAGAGCATTTATGCAGTTCTTCAATCATGCTTACTGGTTTAGTACAATACCAATGGGTGATTCGTACGATTCGTACTGAGACTCAATAGAAGTACTCCTAGTACATGCTACTGGAGTAGTACTGAAATAATGTAGAATAATCCTACTACTATTGAGCATGCTCTCAAAGCTAGCAACAAGCAAAAGAATCTATGGATGCGATAACGTCGATCTACTTCGAAGTATATTATAATAGTAATTCTCGACTTCTACTGTAAACTAACAACAAAAATCTGACTCTAGTTCTTTAGCTCACATTGAGCTGGGCAGTTAGCTCCAAATGGCCGCCCTGGCGCGAAATGGGTACCCACAACACAAGGGAGCCACCACCCGTACCAGGAAGACCTAAGAGACCCGGACGCCAGCGATCCAGGTACAACGTCTTGCCACCAAGTGTCTTGATGTTCGACTTCCACTGGGCAGATCCACCAGCTTTGAGTTCAACTTCATCGATCTTGTCACCACCGGACATGATATTAACCGTCACATCCTTGGTATCCTTGCTCTTGAAGTTAATAATAACAGCACCGTCACCTTTCTTGGTCCAAGCCAGCGTACTGTTCTTGAAGGCCTTGTGAAGCGCACTCATTCCCAGAGTGGCGGCTTCCTTGCCGTCGTCGACCTCACCCATGAACTGCGTGGGACCGCAGATAGTCTGGAGGTATTCTGAAAAGATAGTCGACAGATCCGTCGGGTCCCAGCCAAACGAAGCAAAGAAGAGAGCGTTGCGAAGCCATGTGTAGGCTTGGTGCTTCGCGGCCATGGATGTACCATTGTCACTCTTGCCGGACTTGATGAGGTCGTTGATCATCACTCCGTAGGTCTTGCGGAGGGTATCGCGAGTCTTGTACGCAGTAGCCAAGCTTGACTCGGAGATCATCTTGGGCATACAGTTGTTGGTCACCGTCGGGATATCGTACATGACGAGGTCCGACTGGCTCATCTTAAGGCGGAGATCACCCTCGCTGATCTTGGGGTTCTTCTGTCTGTGCTCGTCCACCGTCATCCAAACTCGGTTGGTCAACGTCGTGAGTTCCTCACCGCACGTCGAGTTCTGCTTCATACCCGTTTCCAGACTCGAGATCTCCCCCTCTGTAATTTGATCGGCTGCTTCCGTGAAGTTGGCCCTCTTCATGAAAGCTTTGAACTTCTGCCAACTTTCGATAATCTGATCATCGTAGTTGAGCACCAACAGTAGGACGAACTGAGCCGTAGGCATGATCTGGCGCGTTAGCTGGAGACTTGCGGGGGTACTTCTGCCTGAGCACGCGATGATGGTAGCCGGAAGATCAGCGACGACATAGTTCGTCTGGTACAGCAGCAGTAAAAGCTTCTCTTGCGACGTGTTGGGTTCGTTGGTCATCTGGTTACGCGTGAAACGGATTACTGCTCTTACGAAGACCATGAGGTAGTTGGCGCAAGTGACTGCCCAACTCACGTGCTTGCCGTACTTGGCCAATTGACCGAATACACCGAAAGAGGCCATACTCAGCGCACCCATTGCCAAGGCGGAGATCTTGGCAGCGTTTTCGCGACCGCAGTCGTTGTTTTGTTGAATGCACTGCATACCACATTCCACGGGATAGTCCATCGGACACTCGGTCCAACATGTGTTCGTCAGTTCGTTGCGATCATAATTGCTCGGACAGGTTTTCATGAAGTGAGCCTCCCGGTAGCAAGCCGAGTCGGCCGACTGGCTCCAAGGTCCCACCCAGTTACGGTAGTTGGATTTAATGTCGCTAACCGCAGTTGAAGGCGTCGCGATCTCGTCCATGGATGGCATTGCCAAGTCCAAACCAGAAGAACCAGCTAACGACAGAGCGTTCGATGCAGAGTTATCATCATCCGTATCGAGAGAAGAGGCAGAGGACGAAGCTGAAGAAGCAGGCGGCTTGGAAGCCGAACCTGAAGAGGAACCGACATCAGGCAACGAACCAGAGTCCGAGTCCGAGTCTGACCCCTTCCCAGAGTAAATCATAGACCTGACACGATCCATGTAATCGGACCCCATCATGTTTGTCAGGGTCTCTGGAGACAGGGTCTCTGAGTTTGTGTCGGTCGAAGCGGGTGAAGGGGTCGAATCGTCGTCATCGTTCCAAAAGGTCCAGTCGATGGCTTGTGTGCTGGTGGTGCTGGCAATGGCAGTCAAAACGATGAGTGCCAGTCTTGATCGCTTCATCCTGGTGTGGTTGTGACTGGAAGATGCCCGCGAAAGCGTTTGAGGAAGTTACTCAAGCGGGTGTGACTCTGAGGCTGCAAAATGCAGAATGATCCCATGTTGCTGTTTGAACTTGTTAGGCTCCTTTTGGAGTCCTGCTGTCGAGAACCGGGTTGGGCACAAATCGACAGGCGGCAGCACGATTTGCGGAAAAATGGAGATGGGAAGGCTACTGCACACAATCGAGCCGGTCATTGCAACGTTAGGCTAGGATTAAAAAAACAAAAAGGAAGCGGAGCAAGACCAGACACCGGGAGATGGTCGAAATGGTCGCGGCAGTCTCTGTAACCTTGTCAAGGGGATGGATCTTCGGTCTGACTTCTTGACTTGGTTTTCGTAAAAGGATTCCTTTTCAACATTGTCAAGCACTTTTTGTAGTTGACACCACATGGATCGGAACCTCACAATCTGAGGATCTATCGTTTAACCCTTTTCAGTAGAAAAAGAAGGTCACATCTCAAGGCGACAGTGAAACACGGTACAGAAGCTGACGCGTGGGAACGGCGACAACCAAGATGAAAATCCCCATTTCCAGGCAAATGGGCACCACTGGTACCAGGCAATACCCGACGAGACCTTGGCGCCCTTACGGATCTGTGTATCTGCCATTTATATCAAAGGAAGCTAAGATAATGGCGCGGCACAGAAGAAGATACTACTGGATACAAGGTATGTGTCCGAAGTCTGAAGATCACCCTGCAGATCATAGGGACGTTACTAGCGCATTTCTAGTGATGTGTTTTCCAGTGATGCCTGGCTTGTACCATAGGTACTAATAGGCTGTCCCTAGACACTCATAAATGAGTGCTTGGTACAGTCTTCGTGCTCGAAATTACACTTCTGAAGAGTATCATAATCTCCTTGTTTTAAGGGTGAAGAGTTCTTAGAAAGAATTTAGCTATAAGTCGCCACAGTATGATCTTGTAGCCGCTTTGATCAGAGCACTCATGAACAAGACATCCGGACTTGGAGTCCAAGTTAGACCTCTTATGAGTTTTGTGAATTACAGATGCCTCTTTTGCAAGAAATTAGGGAAGGCATCTGCTTCAACAATAGCACTCAATTCTCGCTACATGTAGTTTGTACCATTTAAAAACTTTAAAACAAACAATGGATGAATTCACTTAATTATGTATTTTTCTTAGCCACAAGTTACTAGAACATCTCGAATCCACACTAGCCATCTCAAACTCGATCATGAAGGAAGAATATGTGCCCATTACATATTTGTACCACATGAGTACTCAGTTGACCAATAAGCGCACCGGAAAACTGCACGAGTGCGGTGTCACTGGGGACTCGCGCTATAAAAAGGTCCAAATTATCAAAGTTGATAAAACCCGGAATTATGACCAAATAACATGGAAGGTCTCAGGGAGATGGAGCTGTACAGCAGTACGATACAAGTACCGGTAGATGGCGAATTAACTTATTAATTCACTACTGTACTTCATGAAGTGCATGTAGTTAATCGATCACCTGAGCCTGCCCCACAGATTAAAGGCATTGTGGAGGAAACGTTGTTTTTGATTTTGCCCCATTGATAAAGTTACCCATTCCAGTTTGCCTATTTTTGTTGCTCGCATTTTTGACTGATGAGATTTGATAATCGCCATGTTGGTAATAGTAGATTGCCAGGTTTTGAAATCCTTGTGGTGACCCCCAGGAAGCTCGAGTCTTGCCAACTTACATCAATGTCGCTCAGCTATCTACTTGGGCGAAGGAGGTGTTTACAAGTACACTTGTACATCTCCTCGTCCTTTAGCGGGAAAAGGGTCGGACTACTGCCCTGTTTGAAGCCAAAGCTGCAGTCTCTGACCAAGAAGGGGGCCACGACCCGAATATTGCTTCAACGCAGCATCAAGCTCATCCCTAGCCATCCGCTTCCTAAGAACGCCGCAAAACACAAAGAAGGTCATTCGGGCGGTCCAGCAAAGATCGCAAGCTCAGGTGGCAGGCAGGTAGTGAGCAACAACCAGTCCGCAACGAGAGCACAACACTGCTGTACATTCACTGAGCCATGAAGCCACGAAGAAACTTCTGTGGTGGCTGCAGGCCATTCGTCTCAAAGTCTTGCTGCAGCTCACTCCTTAGCATGGCTCTATCTGCAGCGATTGCTCAATCTCACGTCATGACAATGTGCCACTGGCAAAACAAGCTGCTCCTGCTCAGCTACAATCGACATCAAAATGATCATGGCCGCCAGCTGCCCCAACCAGATGATCCCAGTTGAGATCTGTTCGTCGACTGCGCCACGGTTTTGTTTATCCATATCGCTTGGTTTCTTCTGACGCAGTCGGTGTCGACGTGTTTTCGCGAGCACATTGGCCACAAGGATGTCGATGGAGGTGATGAAAGACGACATATCACTGTCCGGCTCACTAACTGGAGAAATGACCCCGCACCGAACACACTGCGGTCAGACGCTGCCCAGAGGACCTCACGAGAGCTTGAATGCTCGTTGCCGGGGACGCTTCGTGCGTTTGCGTGAAAGAGTCGGATTAGCAGATCGTCCTTGTGGGAGCTTACGACGATTGAGTTGGCTTCGACATAAATGTTTGTGAATTTTGCTAGAGGACATTTGATATATTTGTATTGTCAGTTCGGTGATCGGAAGCACCTTTCAGTTGAAGCGAATATGTTGAAGTGGCCAAAGTCCATACATTGATGCTATCTGCTTCAACGCTTTGCTAACAGTGTACACGTTGTCGTTATTGAAGATTGCGAACTTCAGCCAAGTGCCTCAAACACCGCAAGGCTTGCGGCAAGCGTCCGATAGAAAAATCCATATTAAATGTGTTTAAAAGAGTTAAGGTGTTCGATTCATTCCATGTACCTGTATCTGTCGTTCTGAACTGCAGAGAACAGAAGGCAGGCCATTTAGCGAAACGTCAAGCTATTTGTATGTACATGTAGAAGCGGGAAGAAATTAAAATTTAACACAAGCGTCAACATTCATCCTGCCCATCGTTTTTCCGCTATGAAGCCGTAGACAAACGGGAAATGAACTGCACTTTTACTCATCGAAACGTTGTGGAAGCTGGAGGTGACGGGTCGCTAGAATGCGAATCACCAGCTCTCTCGATTGCTGCGAAGATACATGTTAGATACATGTAGCTGCGCGAACGGTGAGGTCGATCGAGTCACATAGTCATGATGCGGTAATGAAGTGGCTCGAATAATCGGCCATGCAGGTTTGCGCGGTTACTTACATGGCGTAAGGTGTATCAACTTACTGGTCATGTCGTAGAAGTTGTATTAATACCTGTTCTCACTTTATCTGGGGGTTTTGCGTCGAAACATCGCTTGGAACACGGGACGAGAACTATGGATTCCGTAATAAAACTAAAGCGCCATTTTTTTTATCTGGAATTAAGCTCTCACGGATGGAATTGATGCAGCACATTATAAATTGTAATCTTAGCTCAGCATTTAATCATGTTCTAATATCAGTTAGCTCTTTCAGTTAGTGTCTAGTGTAAATTTTACCAATGGGCAAACGCCCTACACTAGTTTCGAATGAATAAGCGTGTGCGGAGCGAATAGACACTTGACAAGTAGCTAATGGACTAAGTTTTTCTATTCAAGAACGATATTTTTTTGTCGGAAATGTAAAAAAATATCATTGTCTGTTTTAAAAGAAATGCTGTCGTTGGAGATCACCTTGAGGGCCATAAATGAATAAAGATTTTACTCTGTGGTGAAATTATGCTGGGAATAGAAGTAGTTCCGGAGATTGTTCAAACGATAAAAAAACGTTGAAAATGAGGTAAATAGTTATAACCGTGATAGTCCTTTTAATTTAAAATGGGGTATTTCAATGCAATATTTCCTCCACACGTGACGCTTTGCCGATATTTCTACGATGATATTGTATGTTATTGTAAGCTTGTGTTTACCGTTCCCATTATACGTAACTCAAATAAAAAATAGTTTTGACGATCCACGCTACAGTTTGACCAGTTGAAGCTTTTTGGTTTCACTACAGTATCATAAAACGATAATATTGCCGACGTCATTTTAATACTAAAAACATGAATCATTTTCCAACGCACCAATGGTTTATGTTCAAATTGAAGACTTCAAACATGGCGGTTGGTTCACTGCAATCTGTGGTATGTAGAACGAAAATCCAGTGATGCTCTCAGATATTTTAGTACTTTATTTGTCTTTCTGTCTACGAGGAGACCGTAAAGACTATTTTTATTATTATTTACGAATTTGCATTAATATGCTTAGCAGTAACTACCGGTAGGGACAGGCATTACCACCTTCACATTCTACCGCATTTCAGTTACTATTATAGTTTTGTGGAGCATTTTCGGGTGCTCTTGCTTTTACCAACTGTAGTCGCATTTTTCTGAAGTACTAATGTCAAAAGCTGGCAGGTTCTACCTATTATTAATTATTCTGGCAACTGGTGGTAGAGGGAGCGAGTAGGAAATCAGTACATGAACGTGTATTGTTTATCGTAGGAATGAAAACGACACTATAGCCATCCTATCGCCCTGATTGGAAAAAGTTCGATCGAGGCAGCCGAACAGGCTGTTCAACAGCAGGTGGTCTACAGCACCGACATACGGATAACGTGACGCAATCCCCATTGGGGATTCCCCAATACAATACTTCATAGGGGACGCAGTAACGCACAACCACATGGTACCCAAAAAAAAGTCTACACGCAAATTTTTTAACCTTAAAAGTGTTAAATTTATGGTCTTATTAAGAACCAGAGCATTCCAGAAAATCTAAAGGGTTAGTCCTTACTAAAATTGCAAACATGATTCTGCAAATGCTGATCCGACGAGTATTTGCCCTACAAGTCAGAGGATCGCATCATGTGATTCACATTCAGGATCTGGGCGGATCGACGCAGGTAACGTCGATTTCGCCTTTCGACTACGGTATGTGTGTATATATGTATGCCACACTCTGTCGAAATAGCTGCGGGACCGATATCATCGTCAACAGTAAGCTCATTCAAATGCAAAGTGCGTGGATGGATTCACACAATTTACCGTTAGCTGGCTTTCGGGAATAAAGAAGCTGAAGTTATAGCATTAACCTACTGACGGGATCGGGTGAATTCTTGCAAAGTCTATTTTACATTCCAGCTATTTAAGAAAGCCAGCGAGGTACTCACAAATACGCGACGTCATAGAATTATGTAATATCGTAGGTATAAATCCAGGCGGCAGTCATAGCTCTGGGAGCCCCCAATTTATTCCTGTCTAAGGGTATTCCTATCTAAATGTACAACAAAAAATGGATCCGAGTTACACTTTACCTTGGAATAGTGCACAAACTTACAGTACTAATGGAGACGATTGATGCAGCTGGTTAGTAGCGTGTCACCCTGTTTTGCTCGACTATTGCCAGTTTTTGACTCGCCACACCACGATACCCTTCCCTCTGGTCCAGCCAGTCTGTCTCACACTCACAATGCTCAACGACTGCTGTACAAATATGCAAGCATCACGCTCACAACCCTGATGTGTGCCAAACAGAGCTAGATTCTTGGCTCACAGAATCTACAATCTTCCTTTGGTTTCCACCACAAGTCATGACCTGGTAGCTATTTAAGCGCAGAAAGTGATGGAGTCACTTCCGGTCTAGCAGTTTGGCAACAAACTGCGGTACGCGGTGCGCCATCCCAAACTCGACAAGTTCCTTGCCAGTTGGGTCTCCTGGTGTAAAGAGAATGGTGTAACCGTCACAAATGGGCGATTAGACTGAAGGCAGAACCCTTCTCTGTGATCATTAAGCTCGAGTCACGTCCAAAGTGGTCAAAAGGATAGGCTTCAACGGTTCGGCAATCGGTTCGGCAATCGGTTCGGCAATCGGTTCGGCAATCGGTTCGGCAATCGTGGAAGCAACCAAGCTCTTGTGCAGTTATGACTGCTCTCATAGTTAAGCACCCCATAATAGGAATATTTGACTTCACATGTATTTCTTTTTACAATCGAGGGTGAGAGGGAACAAGATCTTGGGTTTGTATGCAACTGGTGATCGGGAGCCGCTTATTTATTGCTGATATATCCCTGTAAATACGTGGTGGGCTTTATGCAGACCTCCTTAAAAGCGGCATTTCGCTATAAATAGCGGCAATGCGCCTTAAATAGACCTTTTGGAAGTGCCGCATTTTACCGACCTTTCAGTATAGGAAAACTGCTGACGAAACAGTGCAGAGGCTAAAGCCTAGCGTCTCCAGTAAGCCTCCGTCGCGTAAGACACCCTTCCAGCCTGCTCATGAGCTCCAGTATGGACTAAAAGTCATGGCGAAGGATGCTAGCGGTGTAGTGTGCTCCGTGCGCTGTCAGTTTTGCAAATATTTTGGGAGAGAGGAATCGAAGAACGGCAAGAGACGACGAACCCAAAACCAAAAGTTTTACAAGCCCCCATATCGACCTCAATACTACACAGATCATAACACAACAGCTCATGGTATTAAGTGGGCGCAGTATCAGGCCCTGAGCAGCGACGAGAAATCGGGCATTTTTCTCTGGTCAAATTTCACACAACAATCAGTTATCCTCCCACTACGAAGTCGAGTCTTCTACACTGAGCTTTGACATTCCGGAGCATATAGTGACTGATTTG